AACTAAAAACATAACCTCCTTGTCTGATGTAATAACACATAAAAGAACAGAGCAAGAGAAAAATTTTTAATTTACGATGCTAGCCACAATCCTGTCATTTCCATCATTTCTAAATATTATTCCAGAAAATTGTAATATATTGAATTGTCTAAGAAAGAAATCAGCCTGTTTGTCAACGTATTTCATCAAAAGAAACTGATTTAGTTTCACATGGTAAAAACTGATCTAATACAACAAAAGTTTATTAAAAAATCTGCTTATTTGAGCAGGTAAACAAGATGATCTGCCAAAGGAAGGAGGATTTACGCCCTTAAAACAAAATGATGTGAAACTATGAATTTCAAATAAGATGCTAATTATCTTACTTGCCTGCTTAAATCAAGGTAATCTAAATCTAATCCAAGAAAAAATAGTTTTTGCTTTTTCGCAGTTTATGTTTTCAGTTTTACAGGGGCTCTGGCCCCTGTTGGCCCCCATCTAGAACCGCCCATGTTAGACAGTATAGCTGAACTTTTGTTAGAAATGACTCATTGATTATGATGCTTCAGGTTAAACCACATTCTGACTAACAACAAGGCTGGGGGTAAATTACAGAGACAGAATTACAACACAAAGGATTAAATGATTTTGTGCAAAGTTCGCTTCATGTCCTGCCCTCTGCTTCTTCATGTGGTTTGTTTCCACAGCCGAAGCTTTCAGTCCAAATGAAGCTGCAACAGTGAGCAGCTCTCTGCATGCTTTCTACAGGCCTGTAGCTCCTGCTAGCATTTCTAAAAAAATATCACAAATTATCTTAGAATTTACAAATGATCACGATGATTGTAAGGCAAACTAGCTTGACTTTAAGACTAAATAACTTTTCATAATTTTTTTGACAAAAACCTTGAAAATGATTAGAAGACAGAAGTCTTCAGACCTACGGCTGATGCTTCTAAAGCACCTAAACCTGTGAATCAGTGATGTGTTCAGACTCATAGCAGGTACCTCTTTATATCGTGGGACTGGTGGCTTAGTTTTACACTCATCACATCATGCAGCTTAAATAGGACTCAAGTTTCGACCCGTATTTATAGTTTGATCTAATTAATGTTTGCATGTCTGAAAATGTGGAAACTTCTTTGCACGCACAGCAGTGTTAATTTCGTCAACCATGACGATGACGAAAATATTTAGTCAACGCCCCTTTTTCCCGTGACGATGACAAGATGATAAGGCACAAAAATTGTTTCCAGAAAATAAAATATGACGAAAATAAAAAATGATTTTCGTCAACAAGACTAAGACTAGACTAAATTTATGATCCATTGATGAATAGACATTAAGAAATATTATTGTTTTTAATTATTTTGTAATTGTTAATATACGTGTCTCTTGAGCTTCATAGAAGATTATGCGTTGTTGCCCTGTTTGCCCCTACATGGCGCCTGTCCCACAGTGCCTCGCGCCACTCAGTCAGTAGTAGCTCTTATACTCATAGCTCTACTTTGCAGTCATTGCAGATACCGGTGTGCAGTTTGTTAAACAACGCATGGATGTATGGAGCCATTTAGTTTACAACTCGAAGGAAAACACCGGAGGAAGGACACCACCAAAGAGTCTGCAGCTTCAAAATGGCAGAAAAGAACACAAAGAATCTCAAGCGTCATCTGAGGTGCCAACATGCTGCCATATGGAAGAAGGTAAGGAACGGGTGGCCTGTAGTAGTAGGGATGGGTGGGTGGGTGTGCCTTCCCGTGCCTGTCTGTCTGTCTGTCATAGAAAAAAGATGTTCTACTGATACTCTGGATATTAACCGTTTGAATTTCTTCCTTCCAACTAGATTCCTGACACAGTGACACCAAGGCCAAATCAGAGGTTGGGGAAGGAAGGGAACTCTGTTGCAGAGATTGGAGCCCCCCCACCGTACAAACCTGACTCCAAAGAGCAGAAAGCTCTGGAGAAATCAGTGGCAAAGTGCATTGGGCGTTCTGGCCTGCCTGCAAGGATCATTAAGGATGAAGACTTTGTGGATAAGATGAAACAAGCCGACAGAAGGTTCAATGTGTGCAGTGGGATATATGTTAAAAAGAGAATCAGTGTGTGAAGTTCTATTCTGCACAGTGTGATATGAATAACATAGAGAAAAAGAACCAGTGTGTGATGAATTGTTATTCTGTACAGTGTGATATATATGTTTTAAAAAAAGCAGTGTGTGGAAAAGTTCTATTATTTACAGTGTTGACTAAAATGTCTAAAATTTGACTAAGACTAAAATTGATTTTCGTCATTTAGACTAAGACTAAAAGTAAATCAGGAAGGCAATGACTAAATATGACTAAGATTAAAATAGATTTTCGTCATTTAGACTAAGACTAAAAGTAAATCAGGAAGGAACTGACTAAAAATTGACTAAGACTAAAATTGATTTTCATCATTTAGACTAAGACTAAAAGTAAGTCAGGAAGGCAATGACTAAATATGTCTAAGACTAAAATAGATTTTTGTCATTTAGACTAAGACTAAAAGTAAATCAGGAAGGCAATGACTAAATATGTCTAAGACTAAAATAGATTTTCGTCATTTATACTAAGACTAAAACTAAATCAGGAAGGAAATGACTAAATACATCTAAGACTAAAATAGATTTTCGTCATTTAGACTAAGACTAAAACTAAATCAGGAAGGAAAGGACTAAATACATCTAAGACTAAAATAGATTTTCGTCATTTAGACTAAGACTAAAACTAAATCAGGAAGGAAAGGACTAAATATGTCTAAGACTAAAATAGATTTTCGTCATTTAGACTTAGACTAAAACTAAATCAGGAAGGAAAGGACTAAATATGTCTAAGACTAAAACAGATTTTTTTATTGTGACTAACACTAAATTAAAAAAAGCTAACGACATTAACGCTGATGCACAGAGAACATGTTAAAAAAAAAAGTGATCTGTGCGTTAAATACAGCAGACATTTATAAATGTCCCTCCTTAGTATGCAGATGATATTCTAATCACCAAACTGCAGAAGTTCATTTATGGAGGATATGCAACGGTAATCATTCACACATGGAAACCAATATTTCAGTCCTGAAACTCGACTGCAGCTGCAGTTTTGCATCTTTTTTATTTCAGTACTTCTGAAAGTCATGTGCAAAGTCACAAGCAGAACCTTTGCAGTCACGGGCACAAAGGATGCATTGTTACAGTGACAGACACTGAACAGAGATTCTGCCTCCTGCATCATCAGAAAATAACAAACGTATAATGAAAGTGGCCGTAAATAAACTGCAGAGTCTGAACCAGATTAATGCATCACTAAGGAATTAACTCAAATAGTGTGGTTTGTTTATAAAAACAGGAAAATAAATCTGCTTATACTGGAGAACATTGGACACGGATGTTGGGCTGATCTCTATCACCTTCAACATGCCTGCTTATTGCACATGGAAAATGACTATGGAAGGTCTTTCTCTGGGTGTTTATCGGGTAAATTTTAAATAATCATACTCTGTATGCAGATGGTCTGGCGATTTTCAGTTGCCTGAGTTCTAGTCTTTAACAGCTGTTAAAGACTACTGTTCTACTGTTGCCTGTAAGAGACCTGCTATAATCTGTTAAACTAGAGAAGGTAAATATTTAAAACTGTATAATAAAATATAATAAAGCTTCTATCGGTGAAGAAAATGTAATCAATTTTTCATTTCATATCAGTAGACCTTACAAATCAGGGGTCTTAAAGGTTTTCAAGGCCAAGGACCCCCAAACTAATGGCGAGATGGAGCGGGGACCCCCTGATCATTTATATTGTATGAAATAGTGTTCTATCAAACTGGTCCTACAGTCACTCTATTGCAGATGGAGTAATGTAACTAAAGTAATCCCTCCGTGGGATTATTTATTTCTGATTCCTGGTTGATGGGACAGGTGTTGTGAATGAAACGGTGCCCAGCTTGAAAGAGCTCCTGTGTGTCGCTGAATGTGAGCATTGATGACTGAAAGACATCTTCTGCTTCCATTTATCTGTTTACTACAGTCTGTTCAATTCATGTTAATGTGGATTTAAAGACATTTCAATTAATAGAAAAAATTGCAGGGGGGAATAAAAAAAAAAGTCTAATCAACCAAAACTTTCACAACCCCCATGCAGAACCTCCGTGGACCCCCTAGGGTTCCCGGACCCCCTGTTGAAGACCTCTGTTAAGATGATAATGACTGAGGGGTTCAGAAGTTTTCTTTTTAAAGCACACTGCCCTCCACTATATGTTGCACTAAAATAAGGCTAGTGTGAAAAATTATTCAGGATTATTTAAAGGCTGCAGTGAGAAAACTGCTGATGGTGAAAGGCTGGAAGCAGCAGGGGTCGGCTCTCTGCAGGCTGAGCTCAGGAACCTATTTTAGCTAGATCTGTCTGTCTGTCTGTCTGTCTGTCTGTCTATCTGTCTCTGTCTGTCAATTTGTCTCTGTCTGTCTGTCAATCTGTCTGTCTGTCTCTGTCTGTCAATCTGTCTCTTTCTGTCAATCTGTCTCTGTCTGTCTGTCTGTCAATCTGTCTCTGTCTGTCTGTCTGTCTGTGTAATATATATATATATATATATATATATATATATATTACCTACAGTTTAGAAAGAAGCACAAGCAATAGTAAAAACCTAAATCTGTTTATTTGTTTATGTTGTAAATACATTGGAAAGTATAAAAATATATATAGAACAATTGATATTTAAAAAATACAGAAACTGTTACATTTTCAAAGTATAAAAGTATACTACACCAAAATGTAAATTTACCAAAAAAAGCAAAGGTTACAATCTAAACTCAGTTTATTTGAGTAGATTTACTCAAATTTTTGGTAGTTTCTTTGATTTCTATAGTTATAAAAACACCAATAGATATATAGCTATTAATGCTAACCTTAAAATGTTCTCCATGCAGAAAGCCCAAAAGATAAATTAACAAGCATTATTAAAGTGATTGCTAATAATTAATTCACTGATACATTTTAAAGCTTTAGCATATATGGATTTTACTTTTTTAAGGTTTTTTTTTTTCATTTTTTGTTTTGTTTGTTTTTTTGTAACGTCTGCATCCTCATGGGAGGGTTTTAGTCTGGAAGTGATTTAACAACATAAAAGCAGAATGAACAAATTCACACAATTGAACCAGATCTTTTCCTTTTTCTTTTTTTTTTTTTACATAACTGTAATTTGTATTCTGTTACTTCGTGACTAAACCCTCACCATTTATCCGGGCTTGGGACCGGCAATAGCACAGCATGTTCTGCTGTCTGGCTAAAGGCTGGTTTACCATGAGATTGATGCAGAGAAGATTCATTAAATGGGCTCCTGTTATCTACAACTGTTGGTGAGACCTGCTGAGGGTTTTCAACTCCATCATAAAAACGAGAAGCTCTTTTCTTGAAAATGACAATGAGAGCAGACCCAATCAGAACAGCAGTCACCAGCAGCCCAGCAATCAGTCCAGCGAGCGCTCCACCTGTAGAACAGAACCAGGTGTTAGTCTGATCCATCAGGTAGGACATGATTGAAGAACATCATCAAATGAATAAACTAAAGCTCAATAAATAAGGTGAAAAATTATCCGAAATTAAATCTTTTCATGTCCAGCTTTGTTGGTTTTATCTTTTTTTTTTTTTTGTAGTTAAAATGGTGACCAAACAGCAGAAGGATCTCCTTCACCATCAGAGTTCTGCTGTTCAGACATTAGAACCACAGGAGGAATTAGCAGGAGGATCTGTGGACTTCTGGTTTCAATGAGCAGATTTTACAGAAATGATGACACCGATAAAATAAAGTAGATTGAATGTAGATCACCTGAAAGACCATCAGAACCATCTTTAATCTCTCCATCATCTTGGCTTTCATGATCGGATCCTGTAGAACAGATCCAGGTGTTAGTGGGAGATTTCAGGATAATTAATGGCCTGGCCAGATATTGCATTTTATCAAATTAAAGGAGTCCAGTATCATTCATTCATTCATTCATTCATTCATTCATTCATTCATTCATTCATTCATTCATTCATTCATTCATTCATTCATTCACACACTGATGGTGCTAAGCTAACATGAAGGTAGCCTCAGCTGTCCTTGGCATACTGATGGGGAAGAACCAGAGAGGTTCTGATCTTGAGACTCACCCAGAGGAAGAACATTCAGGGTGATGGTGCTGATTGGTTTAATGGCTCTCTTCCTGCGGACGTTTTTTTTTAGAACATAACACTCATATGTTCCGCTGTCTTCAGACGTCACGTTCTTCAGAACCAGAGAAACGTCTCCGTTCTGTAGGTCCTTCAGCTCCACTCGACCCTTGTAGCCCGGTTTGGGGATTTTTGGGTCTAAGTTTTTGTTTCTTAGGATGAGAACATATTCTAGGTGTTCTCCAGGTCGGCTCCACTCCACCACTTTAAAGGGCATGTACCCCTCAGCCCTGCAAGGCAGAGTGACGTCTCCTCCAATCACAGCGGAGATGTTCTGATCTACAGGAGAGACACAACACAGAGCAGCTTAACAAAGAGGAAACTCAGGTAGATATCAGACTTCCTCATCCTGGATACTAAGGACAATGAACTCAGAGTCAGTGACTAACTGTAGCAAAACAGAAAATCAATATATTATTCCATAAAAGCGAAAAAACAACAATCCACTGGACTTTGTTTGCAAGTTTGAAGACGTTTCGCTTCCCATGCAGGAAGCTTTTCTATTCAAATAGTCAGAAATAGCGTTGAGTTCAAGGCTTTATACCGTAGCCCAACCTTGTTTGTGTGGAAAACATGCAAATTGACATTCCTGACATTTTGAATTTGGAAGTACAGTGGATTGTTTTGTTTTTTTTTTACTTTTTTTTTGCATTGACTACGCCTTGGATGACTGAGAATCTTCACCAGCACACTAAATTCTTATCAGAAAAACTCTAATTTCTCGTTACCAAAATGTTTTAATGGGATTAAAATCTGTTCTTGCTTAATAATCTGAATACACGTTCTAAATCAGAATCAAACAATCCAATCATGAGCTGTGCTCCCCTGCATCAGCTTTGAATTAGAATAGAGGAGATCAGACATTACAGGAGATCAGAGGAGATCAGAGGCGATCAGACACTGTTGACTTCAAGCAGCTGCAGAGGAAGAGGTTGAAAAAAAGAAGAGCAGACACAGAGGGGTTCTGGTTCTGACCGATCCGGACTGGATCACTGCCAGGATATGACAGCAGCTGTCTCATCCTGATCCTGGGTTACAGAATGAGAGAGGGAGGAAATGAGTGCACAGCTCCTCCCTTCATCTACATACATACCAGACACTTTGATCATATCAGACTGTGAATATTCAGCTTATTTTAGTTTCTTCTTCTGGCTCAGCAGGGTTTAACGCTCCATATTTAGTGTTACAGTAAAAACCACATCATTAGGGAGAAATGTGTTTATTAATATAACACATTTCAAACAAAGTGCTGAAGTCATTACAATAAAAACATATAACACAAAAATAGACACGAAAAGAAAAAGTAAAAGTCAGTAGCTGTGAGAATAAAAAAACATCAATACTTAATAAGCAGCAGTTTATATTTCCTACATTAGGTCAAAACAAGCTTTCAGTTTAAAAACACTTTATTACACATTGTGGATTTATTGAGATTATTTGTAAACCTCCATTAAACTCCAGTCATTGTTAGTTTAAAAGGTTTGTCAGACAGACCTGGTAAAATGCACATTCATGTTTTTATTTATTCATATGTTGTTGTTTTTAAGTAAAGGTTTTTAAAACAACACGTTTACATACTATTCGCATTTTCCAACAATGCGATCTAGTTTATAGTCTTCAGCCACTCTAGAAAAAGGAAATTAAAGCAAAATGCCCAAAAAACGGTGAATAAAAAAGGACCAAACCCACCTTCCAAAGAGGCAGACATGCGGACACCCAATAGAAGAACTAAAACCTCCCTGAACATGTTTAGATCCGGAGATGCCAGACATGGAAGGTTTCTTCTTTCTGAAGAAATCCGCGGGCAATGATGTTGTTGATTCAGCCCTCTGAGGAAGAATGAGAGCAGCAAAGCTGCGCGTTTAAAGATTACAGCCAAACTAACCGCACCCAAAGGCGCGCGCGCCCTCAGGCTGCAGCAGATCAAGATCAAAAACAGCAGAAACGAAAGGAGAAACCAACTGGACATGCATTTTTGTTTAGATGCATATTTCCACTTGCATGCAGCATTTCTAATAAATTACAATGCGTTTCATAAAGTTCAATCAATAGATCATTTGGATTTTAAATCGTGACTTGCAGAGGCGTAGCCAGAAATTTTTTGCGAAAGCAGAGAGGCATGAGAACCTCACGGTCAATAAATAAAATTAACGATTAACATCCATATTTTCTAAATAAAGACTAGCTATATTTTCCTACAGCCTTTGCTAACTATTAGATGCATATATTTAAACATCTGTAATTTCTAGATAAAACTCATTTCTGGGTAAAACTCAGTTTTGAATTCTGGGGCGTAAATCAATCATCATTGCCATTACTTACCTACTTGTATCAATAAACATTCTGCATTAAATTGATATTTACAAGCACTAATATCTACATAAATTGATTATTTGATCAGTTTTTATTAAAATTGTTCTTGATCTTTGATTTCAATGAAGGATCCTAGATGACTTGTAGAGACACATATTTTTCTCTTTATCCCATATAACAAAAAAAATAGTTTTTAAAAGAGATCCTTTAACCACAAAAAAAAAATGTTTTGAATATTCCACTTGAGAGATTTACTGCTGCCATCGTTTGTAAGGGCGGATTTCACTTCTGCAACCGCACACATCAAATTTCACTTGCGTCTGGTCGCAAACCAGTTTTGCTGGAACGCTTCTGCAACGTCGGTCTGGAATTTCTAGGGATGCACAGCAGTTTCCTGCCAAAGCACTAGTGGGAGCCTATTCTAGAACTTGCGAGAACTTCGTGATCGGATGATTACCAGAACTTCTTCCACGGTGCCGGCAGGAGTGTTTATTTTCCAAAACAACATGTCTGAGGGATCCTCCAAGTGGTTGTACTTCCGACTGGAATAGGAAACCAAAACAGCCAAATGAATATCCTGCAAACGAGCGCAGCTTCCAACAGGGGGTCCGCCAACCCTAGTGGTCCACAGAGATACTGAAGAGTCTGCAATTTTTTTCCACCAATTAAAATGTCTTTAAATCCACATAACATGAATTCAACAGACTGTAGTAAACAGATAAATGGAGGCAGAAGATGTCTTTCAGTCATCAATGCTCACATTCAGCGACACACAGGAGCTCTTTCAAGCTGGGAACCGTTTCATTCATAACACCTGTCCCATCAACCAGGAATCAGAAATATTTTTATAATCCCAGGGAGAAATTACTTTAGTTACATTACTCCCTCTGTAATAGAGTGACTATAGGACCAGTTTACGCAACTTCATACTTCATACAGTGTATATATATATAAATTATGGGGTCCCCGCTCCATCTAGCCATCAGTTTGGGGGTTCTTGGCCTGGCTTCTGTTACATGGGATTTCTTTTCATTGTTACGCTGATGATTGTCAGATTTATTTGCCCATACAGCAGCAGGACGTACATTCAATCAAACATCTCCTGGCATGTCTAGGAGATATTAAAGCTTGGTTGGCCTTGAACTTTTTAAACTTTAATGAAAACAAAACAGACGTGATGGTGTTTGGACCCAGTGGCTCTTGTGAGTCCTCCTCTGTTGACCTGGGACCTTTGCAGGTATATTTTAAACCTGTTATTACTGATCTTGGTTTTAAGGTGGACAGTGATTTTAAATTGGACAGCCAAATTAGAGCCGTGGTTAAGTCCAGCTTTTATCATTTAAGGCGATTGGCGTCAGTTAAATCTTTTCTTTCCAGGCAGCATTTTGAAACACTGATCCACGCTTTTGTTTCAACTCGATTGGACTACTGTAATGCACTTTATCTGGGTGTCAGTCAGTCGCTGCTCTCACGTCTGCAGCTAGTACAAAATGCTGCTGCACGACTTTTGACAGGTACTCGAAAGAGAGAGCATGTGACCCCTGTCCTGGCCTCACTTCACTGGCTGCCTGTATACTTTAGGATTCATTTTAAAATTATTAAGTTTGTTTTTAAATCATTGCATAATCTTGCCCCAGCTTACCTCTCTGAGCTTCTTCATCCCTACGTACCCCATCGGTCTCTCAGGTCAGCAAATCAGCTGCTCTTGGAGGAACCGAGAACAAAAAGGAAGCTCAGAGGGGACAGGGCTTTCTCTGTTATGGGCCCCAAATTATGTAATGACTTACCTTTGCAGGTCAGAGAGGCCCCTTCTTTGTCCATTTTTAAAGCTCGTCTTAAAACCCATCTATTTTACTTGGCTTTCAACACCAGTGGGATCTAGTTTTAAATTGTATGTTTTTTGCTTTTAAACTGTTTTAAAATTATTTTTAGTATGTTGTGTTCTTAAACTGTACAGCACTTTGTATCAACTGTGGTTGTTTTAAAGTGCTTTATAAATAAAGTTGGTATGGTATGGTACAGCATATTCTGTGAATCATCATGTACTGTGACTGCAGATTCTCCTCACCAGCCTGCTATCCATAGACATTAATACAGTTAGGTTTATTCTTTATACATTATGTGCATTGCTATTCTGTTAGCCAGATTAGACAGAGTGGAAGGCCTTCCTTCACATTGTGGATGTCACTTTGTGTATGGAGGTCATCTCATCAGGCCAGCCTTCTTGTCTTTTAAAGAAACACAGAATATGGGCACATCTTGGAGCCGGACTGATAGAGGAGATGTATCTGTGATCCTTGGGCATAGAGGCAAGATGCATAAAGGTCAGGGCATGGATGACGTGTCAGTTTCTGATACAGAGAGCTAAACATACACATGATCCAACACATAGACTCATGAGCTATAAGAAGGAGAAGATGACCTTGTTCAGGGCTCAATCTTTGCCGGACGCTCGCGGACGTGGTTTTTTGAGCCCTACAGCTGTGCAAGCTCCAAGCACTTTCTCTGTCCTGTAACGACCTGATCTGGGATAAACTCTGTTATTTTTTTACTCCTGTGTTTATAGTCCTTTGTTCATGGTTTTACCCAGTTTGAGGTAAGAGTAGTAAGTAACTTGCTCCCAGGAAAAGAACCGGTGGGGAACTCCCGAGGCGAAACTGCTTTTTAGGGGACATAACTTCCTCATTTTAACAATACATAGACGCCACATTGGACTCTGCAGGCAGTGAGGCTGACGTGCCTGGAGGGCGGCCATCTTGGGTCAGACCACAGTTCAGAGAGCTGCTGTCAGTCTGAATAGGAGGCGCCTCAGATCTCATTTTAATCACATGAAGGATGAGTCAGAGATAATATTACAATAATCTCTTACATGTCATAAGCCCTTGTGACATGTAAGAGATCTCTTACGTGTCACTTTGATTACACATATTTATTCAGATTAAAAACTATTTCAACACACCTCAAACTGGAGGAAACATATAGATGATTATATATTTTCTGTTTAAATTTAAATATGATGAACACAGTTACACACATTATTATATTGCCTTACATCAGAATATAATATGTTCATATATCATAGAAATATAGATTTCTATAATATATTAATATTACTTATTTTTAAGTTTATGATAATGAGGATTTTGATCTATAGTGGAAATGTTGTTGTATTGTGATTTAGACAATAAAGTTAAGTTATTATTGAGAATTTTTATTCATTTTAACATTATTTTATGTTTTTTTGTTATCAACAAGAACTTTCGTCAAATCATAGTGAATGGTAAATTAATGTTGTGCCTGACTTTTTGAGTTTTGTGTCTAAGTTTTTTTATCATTAGCATTATTCATGCCATATATATAATTAAATATATATGTATATATATATATATATATATATATATATATATATATATATATATATATATATATATATATATATATATATAGAGAGAGAGAGAGAGAGAGAGAGAGAGAGCAAAAAATAGATCTAGGCCTGTCTCAAGCACGCAAGATCCACATGTGCACAGAACATTATTCACCAAAGTATTTCTGCTCCATAGACAATTATAAATTAAATTACAAAGTACCAGTAGTCTTTAAACTTCACTGCATTTGTGTGTTGATTTTTGAGACTGCCCTGACATGCCACAAATGCATTTTTTTAAGCAGAGAATGATAAAAAACCTTTAATCAGGGCAGTCTCAAAAAGACTCTTATCGGGCGGTTAAAAAAAAAATAGCCCTTCATCTATTCTCACAGTTGGGTTGGGAGTGTGGTCTATACTAATAATGACTTTTACCTTGATATTTTAGGGCAGATGTATATCTGGGGGCGAGAACGAATCGTTCTTCAAACCTGTGTAGGCGTACTGTGAAATTACCACATTGAACGAGCTAACATGGTTGCAGCTATAAAGACACCAGGTTTGCTTCAGATAATTTATTTTTAGGAACATTCCCAATGGAAACCACGACAAGACCACAGCTGTTTGCACCTTTTGCCATGCAGAATTTGTTTAGTGCCATTAGAGTGTTCCCAGGCGTAGGTGTGCCTTCTTACCCTGCAGTGATGCAAATTCTAAATCTGCAAACAGCATCACTGCCACCCTTAAGAAAAAATGGACTCAGCTCACTGTGTTAAGTTTCTATTTTATGGACTCATATGATGCTCGTATGATAATCTTTTACTGTAGCTTACTTTATTATTCTTTTATTATGCTTATTTTTACTGTGTAATAAAGTTAGAATAAATTTAAGTTAAATCTGCCTCTTCTCCAAAGAGACTGGCACCTGAGATCGAAGAGGTTGGCAGAGGGAACCTTGGACTTCCTCTCCTGAATGGTGAACACCAGAGGCTGAAAACCAAACACAACATAAAACTGAGAGAGAGCCCAGTGGTGCTAGAGGGAGGCGAGTTAATGGCATGCTAGACCCAAGGGAGTTGACTGGTCCACTTAGTTGGATCAGTCTCACAGAGGATGCAGAGCTTGGTCCCTCTGGTTGGCCCTCTCTGTCTGACTATCTGTTTGTGGCTGAAAACCAGACGAG